ATGTGGGATGATGGGGATGGCTGGATATGGGAAGATGGGGGGGCTGGAATGTGGGATGATGGGAGTGTCTGGATGCAGGATGGAGGGCTGGATTCACAGTGACAGGGGTGTCTGGATGCAGGATGGAGGTTCTGGAATGTGGGATGTTGCAGGTGGCTGGCTGTGGGATGGTGAGGGCAGCTGGATAAAGGATGGAGAGCCTGGAATGTGGGATGATTAGGGGCATGGAGGCTGGATGCAGCATGGGGAGCTCTCTCCATGTCACCTATCGTGGGGACAAGTGACCTTTTAGATTTACTCCCAGTTCTCCATGCTCAGCCAAGCACCTTGTGGGTCGGGAAGGTGGTGCCTGGCTTTTGCCTTTGCAAAGGGTAAAAAACAACCCCAACCCCCAGCAGATAAATATCTAATAAAATATAACTTATAAAAGGACTCAGCAGCACTGTCCCACAGCTTGGGGGGCTCAGTGGGGCATTTGTAGGGTGTTGGAGGTCCCTGCTCAGACCTACCACCCTCGTGTCGGGCCATGGACAGACCCCAAGAGTCCAAGGTCAGTCCACAGGCAGAGGGCTGGGGCCAAAGCAGGAATTTCCTGTGGCCACCACAGCCAAGTGCCTTTTTTTTGGGGGAGAAACCCCTGGTACAGTGACCACCCCCTGGGAAGCAAAGCTGGGAGCTGCATCCTGCTCCCAGGGCTGAGGCCTCCCTGGGAGCTGAGACCTGCCAGCTCATTGCACTGGTGGGGCACTGAGTGGGAGCAGTGGGGCAGTGGCAGCACTCAGCACCATCCCCTGCTCACAGAGGGGGGATGTCTGAGTCCCCCTGCATTCTGGGGGGCAGGACACCGCCCTGGTGGGGCTTTTGGGGAGGGAACAGTCGCTCTGTGGGGTCTCAGCAGGCACTGACAGGACTCTCCCCACAGCTGGCTGCACCTTTGAGGAGGACAGTGACCCGAACCAGTGCGAGTACAGCCAGGGAGAGGACGATGACTTCGAGTGGGAGCTGATCCGGAGCTATCTGATGCCTCACCTGACACCTGACCTGCCTCACGGTGAGTCCCTGGGGACCTCTGTCCCCCACCCACCTCTCTGTCCTGCACACCAGGGCTGGGCTGTGTCCTCTCCTGGTTTAATTCCTGCTTGGAATTTAAATTTAGGCTTGGCTTGTGTGGGCAGGGTGGGCGTGGTGTGATGAGCTGTGTCAGTCCTCAGCACAGCAAGGCGGGATGTGTGTGTCCCTGGGGGAGGGTGACACTTGGGGACAGGGAAGGTGGGACCCTGTTGCTGCTGGGGGAGGAGGGATCCAACAGCCCAGCAGGGACAGGGACATTGTGTGGCTCCAGGTGCCTCCATGTCCCTGCTGTGCCATATAACCCCATTGCCACCCCCGATCTGGGGCAGTGCCTGGGGGAGCCTGTTGTCTGTCTAGATGTGTTTTTGGGGTGGAAAGCAAAGATTCCCAGCTTTTCTCTCTCTCCATGTGACCTCTGCCATGGCTGGGTTGGCTGCCCTGGTCCCTGGGCTGGCTGAGGGCTGTGTGTGGGATGTCCCCTCTGCCTGGGATGTCCCCTGTCTCCCTGCCTGCAGCAGCTCAGGTGGCTTTCCACGCTTCCCATGGGTCTTGGCAGCACCTCCAGTGATGCCAAATTCCTCCTCTGCAGCTGCTGGCAGCCAGGATGCACCCGGATCCCCTCCTAAAGGGGCACCCTTGGAGCTGCTCTCCGTGCCCGGGATCTGCAGCCAATGCCTGCTCTTCCCTCACTGTTGTCTCCTGCAGGCTCATGAGAAATTCCCATCCCTGGGAGATGTGGAAAAGGGGGATACAACATGTTTCTGGCTCTTTCAAGTGTAGGGAAGGGCTTGGAGTTGGAGGCATCTCCGAAGTCTTGGGAACTGTAAAGGAAGAAAATGCAAATGGACTTTTTTTTTATAAATCTCATTGCTTTTAAGCTGTTTTTTTGTTATTTTCCGAGTCCATCTCCTCTCTAATGGCCAGGCTGGGGGAGCAGAGCCAGCCAGGCAGCCATGGGGAGCTCCCCTCTCCCATGAGGATGATGTGGTCACTGTGCCTGGGTGGCATTTGGGGGCTTTACTTGCTCCCTGCTCCCAGATCTGTCCCACCGTGACCCCTTTGAGTTGTCCCTGAACCCATTTGCTCTGTGAGATGCACTTGGCTTGGGATGCTCCTTGTTTTTGGGACTGCTGGCTCCTGCCTGGTCCTGAGGCTCCATCTCCTGCCCAGCCTGGAGGGCTGGTCCTGTGCTGAGGATGGGCAGAAAGAGGAGAGCTGGTTTAGGGCTCGACACTAAACCCAACCTTTTTTATTTATTAAAATATTACCTGCTTTATAGAAAACTCTTTTCTGCTCCACCAATCTGCCTCCAGCTGTTTATCCTTGTTCATGCCAGGGCTTAATTTGGCTTTTCCCCTCCGCTAACTCTCCTCTTCCTTTACCTTTTCCCATCACCTTTTCCTTCCATCCCGTCCCCACTGGCATGTCCTGGGTGCTGGGTGAGGGCAAACGACCCTCAGCCTGCCTGTGAGACTGCTTTGATGATTTTCTAAATAATTGCTTTAAACTGCACTGTCCTAATTGGTGTGTGTCCAGGGGGGGTTCCCCTGGGCAGAGAGAGGGGAAGCAGAGCTGGGGCTTGAAGTGGCTCTTGATGGAGAGTCTGAAACGTGTCATTAGTTGAGTTTTCTGCTCGATTTTCAGCTGTCATTTAAATCTGCAGTGAACTGTTTAAAGCCTGGGGGCTTGCAGGGGGCTGAGGGTGGAAGGGGGCTGCTCTCCCTGCTTGAGGAAATAACTGAGGGTCAGCAAGAGATGGGGGATTAAAGGAATGCAGAGGATTTAGGAAATGAACTCCAGGCTCGAGGGGGAAGCCGATGTGACTGTCCCAGGTTGGATGGTGCCCTGGGAAGAGCACCCAAACCTCCTGGTGAGGGACAGTGACACCCAAAGGGATGCTCATCCCCTAATACCAGGTAGATCCTGTTTTCCCATGGTCCTGGGGTACCCAGTGGGTGCAGGGCCCCTGGTTTTGTGTGGTTTTACCCAGGAGGTTCCTGCAGCCCGATGGCCCCTCTCGGTCCCGCAGTGGCTGAGGGGGATTTCGCAGCACTGGGGCCTCTCCAGGGAGCACTTTCAAAAGGAGTCTCGTGGTCTTAGATTAAAATGAGTTTTTATTGGAGATCAGCCAGTTTCAAGGAGCAGAGGATTTATTGGAGAGGGTGCTGGCTGCTGGCCACCTGCCTCTACCTTTCCAGCCTGCTTTCCTTTTGCTTTCTTGTTTGGTTTGGGTTTTTTTTTTTTCTCCCTCCTCTCTCGACTTGTCTCTCTTTCACCTAAAGATGATGGATGGGTCTCTCCAACGTTGCAATAGTGATTTTTATTTTTTTTTCATCTCTTTATTGTGGGTTTGTTTTTTTTTTTAAAGGAGCAGTGGGGAGCCAGGGAGGGCAGGTGTGAGGCTGCAATCCCAGAATGGGTTGGGTTAGAAGGGACCTTAAAGATCATTTCATTCCACCCCCTGCCATGGGCAGGGACACCTTCCACTAGCCCAGGTTGCTCCAACCTGGCCTTGGACACTTCCAGGGATCCAGGGGCAGCCACAGCTTCTCTGGGCAACCTGTGCCAGGGCCTTACCACCCTCACAGGGAACAATTCCTTGCCCATATTCCATCTATCCCTGTCCTCTGGCAGTGGGAAGCCATTCCCTGTGTCCTGTCCCTCCATCCCTTGTCCCAGGTCCCTCTCCAGCTCTCCTGGAGCCCCTTCAGGCACTGGAAGGGCTAAAATAACATCTTGATGGGTGAGTTTTTTCCCTCAAATGGCAGTTTTTCCTAGATTTTCCTTCCAAACTCAGTGGCATTAGGAAACCCTCTGTGACTCAGAGTTTCTGTGCCCTGCTTGGCTTTTCACTCCCTGTGTGGAGCTGTCGTGTCCCTGTCCAGCCCTGTCACTGAGCTGGGGGGTGACCGAGCTGTTGTCCCCACCCTGGTGAGCTCTGCTGTCCCTCCATCCCCTCCAAGGAGTCACTCCTTCAGCTGGCAGCTCCAGCTCTGCTTCCCAACCAGCTCCTGCTCTGCATCCATAAAAACCTCGCAAAATGAAGCCTGATTTTTTTTGGCTCCTGGGGGAATTGCTGTGGGTTGTCCACGGTGATGTGAGATCAGCTCTTGGTGCTGGAGCTTCCCCGGGAGATGCTCAGGGCAGAAGTAGGGATTGAATCCCTGATTCCTGTGCCTGCCCTAAGATGGAGAAGGATCTGACACATGTGGAGGCACTGACAGCTTCATTTTCCAGCGGGATTTCCTGGAGACAGATGCTGCAGTGCTCAGACCTGGTCCCTTGGCACCTCTTGTCTGCCGGAGCCGCCCTCTCCCTGTCATCCTGCCTTGCTTTCCACTGCCTTCCAAGAGCTCTTGGAATTATTCTTTTTTTTATTTATTTTTATCTCTCAGTGGTTTTGTAGGAGGAAAAACTCGTTGAGACAGGGAAGCAGAGGGGGGGAGTGGGTTCTTGCAGGGCTGTTTGGGTTTTTCCTGGAAGGATCAGTGGCAGGCAGGACCCTTGGGATGGGCAGCGTGATGGGGAGAGCTGCCCCTTTCCTGCAGCTGAGCAGGACTTCACCTGGAGCTGGGGGAAAATCCTGTGGGAGATCTTTGCTCTCCAACTCTTGGCTGAGGTTATTGGAGGGTTTGATTTATCCTCGAAGACCTGCTTTGAATTCCAAGGAAGATCTGATCCCACAGGTGGGAAAATTCACCTGGAGACCCCCCCTGAGGATTTGCTGGGAGGGTCCAAGGCTCTCTGTGCTGCTTTTGCAGCTCAACCCTCATCATTGACTTCTGCAGAGCAAGTTGGTGGGTCTTCCTTAGGGAACAATGCTGGAACCTTGTTTCTCTCTTCATTTATTTGATTGAATTATTATTATTTAGTGCTTTTTGAGTCTTTTTTTCCACAGAGCACTTGGGCTCTTTTCTAAAAGCAAACCTGAAAATGAAAATATAATATATTGCTGCAGCTGAGTTGGGGGGGGCACAGAGGGGCTGATGTGTTATTTGTGGTGACAGAAGGGGGGGTGACAGCTTGCCTGGACCTTTCTTGTGTCAAACTAACCTTAGACTGAGGATCAGAGGAAGGATTTAAGGAGCGATGCACGATATTGATGTGCACCCAAATCCTGTTTTGGATTGAAGTCTCGACCAGGAGATGCCTTGGGGCTGCTTCTGCAGCTCACATTTCACGGGAGGTTTGGAAATGGTTTTTCTCATCGTGATTTTTGGAGCAGATTTTGGCTGGGTGATGCCAACATCTGGATACAGCTCCAAAATAACCCTTGGCTGGGATAGTGCATCAACCCTCCGGCTGCTGGGAATGGTCCTGCCTGTCCCCCCCCAGCCTTTGGACACCCCTCCTCTCCATCCCTGCCTCCAGCTTTGCTGGCAGGAGTTGAGCTAAGCTTTAAAAGCTGGAATTTGGTAGTTTGCACAGGTTTTACTGCAGCTCTGCTTTTTGCCCTGGCTGGGAAAGCTGCTGGACCTTGGTGTGTGCTGAGCACCCAGTGGGGTGGGGGCTTGGAGGGGATCCCTGGAAGTGGTGGTGGATTAACAGGGAACAGGTGGAAGGTGTTTGGGGAACGCCCAAGTCCTTGCTGCATCTCTCTCTGAGGGACTGTGCAGCCCCCCTTGTCCTTGGGTACCTGGGAGCATCCCCTGGAGCTGCCTGGCAGCATCCCAGATGGATCAAGAGCCCAGGGAGGAGCAGGTTGGTGACCTGCTGTGGGACTGTGTCTGCAGGCTGTCACCCCTTGGCACCCTTTTGTCACCTTGTCTGTCCTGCTGCCTTTAGAGCTCCCTGTGCCCTGGTGCTGCTGGGGGAGCACCCATGTGGGGCTGTGCTGCCATTTTATTGGGGTGCATTAAAAAAGCAGCCCAAAAATCTCACTGACAACCACAAACATCCTCTTTTAAAAAAAGAGAGGGGCTGCTGAGGGTGTTTGTAACCCCCAGCCACCTCTGCTTGGAGCTCCCTGCTCCAGGATATTCCCAGTGCCAGGAGATGCCCCTTGTGGGATGCAGGGACAAGTGTAATCATAGAATCATGGAATGGTTTAGGTTGGAAAGGACCTTAAAGCCCATCTTGTTCCACCCTCTTTATAGGCAGGGACACCTCCTACCATCCCAGGTCGCTCCAAGCCCTGTCCAGCCTGGCCTTGGACACTTCCAGGGATCCAGGGGCAGCCACAGCTTCTCTGGGCAACCTGTGCCAGGGCCTCCCCACCCTCACAGGGAAAGATTCCTTCCCAATATCCCATCTATCCCTGCCCTCTGGCTGTTTCAAGTACCTCTGCTTCTCCTGTGTTTAAAAAAACAAACCCAACCCACAGCCTAGGCTTGAAGCAAAGTCCAGATATTTACAGCAGAGGAGGATATAATTAGCACAAAAGCAAGCAGTTGGAACCTGCTTTTTCCGATGCCACAACACCGGGAAGAAAATTAATGGGGGAAAATTGTGTGTGTGGGAAGCCCTGTCTGATGAGGGAGGCTCAGGTGGATCCCTGCTCCCAGATGGCCTTAATGGGCATTCTGTGTCTTTTAAAATAACCCCTCAGTGGTTTAATTTTAGTCTTGGCCTCTTTATTTTGGTCCTGTGGCTCTTTGTTTGTGAAGGGAGGGCGGGAGGAAGGGCCTGTGTGTGTTAACGAGGGCCTGCTCATTAATGAGGTGGCCTTTGGGACATGTCTCCTGGCATGAGGGGGGGTCAGCAGTCACCCCCCCACATGCCACAGGCTGGACCAAATGGAGCTGACCTCGTTAGAGCAGAAGTAATTTTGCTGGGGGGAAAGGAGAGGAGAAAAAAGGGAAGTCTGGCCACGGTGCCTTCCCCTCTGTCGGTGAAATGAGCTGTGCTGGGCTCCGAGGATGTGAATTGTCATCCTTTTAGTTCACCCTGAGTGGCCACCCCAAGGGGCCAGGTGGCCACGTGGGTCAGGGACACGGGGAAAATTGGCCTTTTTGATGGTTTCTTTGCCTTGGCCCAGCTCCCATCCCTGAAGGATGCACTGGGAGATGTGTGTGGTACCTGGCACCCTGTCACCCCAGCTGAGGCTGGGACCCCCTGGGTGTGTTGGGGTCCCCTCAGGTGCAGGTCCCAAATGCTGTGGGGGATGGATGGGTGTCCTCTGCAATCCCAAATACTGTGTGGGATGAATGGATGATCCTAAATGCTGGGAGGGATGGACAAGTGCCTCCTACGATCCCAAATGCTGAGGGAGATGGATGGGTGTCCTCTGCAATCCTAAATACTGTGTGGGGTGGATGGGTGCCTTCTGTGATCCCAAATGATGGGGAGGGGATGGATGAGTGCCTCCTTCAATCCCAAACACTGTGGGGGATGGATGAGTGGCCCCTGTGATCCCAAATGCTGCAGGGAATGGATGGGTACCCCCTGCAATCCCAAACACTGTGGGGGATGATTGAGTGCCCCCTGCAATCCCAAACGCTGTGGGGAATGATTGAGTGCCCCCTGCAATCCCAAATGCTGTGGGGGATGGATGGGTTCCCCCTACAATTCCCCTTTGCCTTCATTAGGCTTTTCTTGGAGCTCCTCAGTGGGAGCTGATGGGAGGAAGTGCCTGGATTTGGAATTAGCCAGTGGTGAGAGCCATTAATAATGGAGCACAGACTGTCAAGAAAACAATGGTGGGCTTGGATAAACGGCCCAGCTTTGCTACTTACAGCTCCTGGTTATTAAAATGGAGATTAATAATCCCTCACCTTTGGTGAGGGGGAGGATTTGGTGGGGCAGCTTCTTACTTTCCCTGTGTCCCACCCACCCTGTATCCCAGCCCCACGGCCATGCCATGGACAGCTGGGACTCCTGCATCCCCCTCCTGCCTCCAGACTGCCTGGCTGGAGCGTGCAGGGCAGGGAATGATGCCGCCTTTGGGATCCCCTTTGGGATTTTCAACCTGCCTGCCCCAGTAATTAAGGCTTCAGGGTTGCACTGGGGGCTCCTGGCTTTGCTGCTGGGGATGTGGGGGGACGGGAGGTGGGATACCAGTGGTGGGGCAGGCCTGGGAATGACATTCCTGGCATCCCGGAGAGCAGTGATGGAGAGCAGTGATGGTTGCACTCGTTAAGCAAACGAGCTTTTCCCCCCTGCTGTGCACGGTTTAAACTCGGCAACAACTGCGTGGTAAATGATGGGAGGAGCTGGGAATGGGAATGACACAGCTGGGGCCCGGCTGGGGAGGGGGACTGATGCAGCTGAAGCTGTGAGAATTAAAGGGCAGCAGGTGGAGGGTCTCTGGTGCCATCGAAGCCATTCCTGACCCCGGTGCCCTGGGAAGAGGGGGCAAGTTATCCTGGAGGCAGCTGGTCCAATCCTTTCCTCCTCGTCCAGTAGCCAGGTTCCATCTCAGTGTCCTGCTGCTGCCCACATCCAACAGACTCCATCCTGTCCTGCACATCCCCCAGGGCATGGACCACTGTCCTGGGGAACATGAGCATCTTTGTGATCCCACCTCCTCCACCTCCTCCATCCCTGCTGGCAAAGCTCAGGAGATGTGGAACAGGGGGATTAAAATCATAGAATCCTCTGACCTGGACAGGACCCCCAAGGATCATCCAGTCCAACCCCTGGCCCTGCACAGACACCCCAGCAATCCCACCCTGTCCCTGAGAGTGTTGTCCAAACCCTCCTGGAGCTCTGGCAGCCTTGGGGCTGTGCCCACTGCCCTGGGGAGCCTGGGCAGTGCCCAACCAGCCTCTGGGGGAAGAACCTTTGCCTGAGATCCAACCTGAACCTGCCCTGACACAGCTCCAGCCGTTCCCTGGGTGCTGTCCCTGCTCCCCCAGAGCAGAGATCGGAGCTGCCCCTTGGGAGGAGCTGCAGCCCCCACTGAGCTCTGCCCTCAGTCTGCTCTGCTCCAGCTGCACACACCTCAGCTGCTCCTCCTATGGCTTCATCTCCAGGCCCTTCACCATTTCCTAGTTACTCCACGCTCTCCCTCTTCTCCCTCCCTCCGCAGGCTCCTACCTGATGGTGAACTCCTCCCAGCACGCCCCGGGCCAGAAAGCTCACCTGCTTTTCCAGGCCCTGAGCGAGAATGACACCCACTGCCTGCAGTTCAGCTACTTCATGTACAGCCGGGACGGGCACAGCCCTGGCACCCTCAGCGCCTACGTGCGGGTCACGGGGGGCCCGGTGGGCAGCGCCGTCTGGAACGCCTCGGGCTCCCACGGCCGCCAGTGGCACCAGGCAGAGCTGGCTGTCAGCTTGTTCTGGCCCAGTGAGTACCAGGTGAGCCCCAGCAGACCTCCAGCCCCCCCCTCAGCCCCCCGGGCACGGGTGACCCCGGTGTTTGGTGCCGCAGGTGCTGTTCGAGGCGGTGGTGTCCGGCGAGCGCAGGGGGTACCTCGGCTTGGATGACATTCTGCTCCTGAATTATCCGTGCTGTGAGTGCCAGGGGGTGGGGCTCGAGGCGGGTGGCAGTGGGGAGGTGGGTGCTGGTGTCCATTGGGATGATCCTGGAGAGAGTGGGTGGACTAACGCCGGGTGCAGCCTGGGTGTCCTGTTGTCACCTGGGCTGGTGGAGCTCCATCCTCTGGGCACCTCTGAGGCTCCTTTCTTCATCTCCATCCCTATCCCTGCCAGCTCCAACATTGCTTGTTTTTATAAAACCTTGGAAAAGCACAGACTGAACATGGGGCTTGAGTGTTCCCGTCAAGAGGGAACTGGTTGGAACCCAAAATCCCAGGCTGTCCCAACACGTTGGCTCTTGGGGTTCACCACTTACTTCTTCCAGAGACCTGCCCCTCTCTATGAACGCCAGAGCCTGACTCTGGCACGGATACCAGAGGGTGCATCCCTCCCTGGGACACTGGCTGTATGGAGACAGGAACAAATTCTTGACTCTGAGCTGGAGCTGGTCTTTGCTGGGTGCTTTAGTGTAATGCTTCTCCTTTGTTGGTTGTTACTCCTGTAAAACCTTTTGCCAAAATGCTTGTTTTTTTCACTAAATTAAAAGAAGTCTCCTGGGAAGAAGTCTGTGGCTTTTTCTCTTTACCTGAATTCAAGGTATCAAAGAGCTAAAGGCTCTGGAAAAGTTCATGTGGATGAACTCTTGGAGCCTAAATATCTGTAAAACACCCGGTAAAGCTCGAGGCTTCGGGACTGGGCTTTTGGAGCTCAGCCCCAGCCATGACACCCTGGGTGGGTTTTTTGGGCATGGTGGGATTTTTTTGAGGATCCCTTCAGAGCTTGGCCACTTTGTCACCTCTCCCTTGTGTCCCTCTGGCAGCGAAAGCCCCTCATTTCTCCCGCCTGGGCGACGTGGAGGTGAACGCGGGGCAAAACGCCACCTTCCAGTGCGTGGCCGCCGGGAAGGCGTCCGAGGCCGAGCGCTTCCTCATGCAGGTGAGGGGTGGTCGTGGTAAAACCCCCCGTGCACCGACCTGGGGACACGTCTGGTGGCCCTGGGTGTGCCTGCAGTGACGTCTGGTCTCTCCCCTGGTGCAGAGGCAGAGCGGCCAGGCGGTCCCTGCTGCCTCGGTGAAGCACATCAGCCACCGGCGCTTCCTGGCCACCTTCCAGCTGGACGAGGTGTCCAAGGCGCAGCAGGATTTGTACCGCTGTGTCACCCAGTCCAGCCGAGGCTCGGGGGTCTCCAACTTTGCCGAGCTCATCGTCAAAGGTGGGTGATGTGCTGTTGGATTTCTGGGTCAGGGATGGGCCGTCTCTGCTCTGCTGTTGGCAGAGGAGGAGGAAGGTGGGACGCTCGGGGCAGTGGTGTCGCAGTTTCTTCTTGCTACACACAGACTTTGCATCATAAAACCAGGAAACTGCCTTTGCTGGTGGCCTGAGATGATTTATTTTTGATTGCAGTAGGTGGGAATTAATTAATTATGGTGAAACTGTGCGGCACCACGCTGGGCTGTGTATCTCATAAAGATAATTAAGGTTTGATCAGATGAAACCCTATTGTAGCTGTTAAAGCCTCACTGAGGCCACATGCACAGGCTGAAGTTTGAGGACTAGCTGGTGCCCTCCTGTACTTTGGTGTCAATCCCCACATCCTCTGGGTGGGGAATCCGAGTTTGTCCCATGCTTTTCAGCATGAATCATGGAACGGTTTGGGTTGGAAGGGACCTTAAAGCTCTAATTGTTCCACCTCCCTGCCCTGGCAGGGACACCTTCCACTAGACCAGGTTGCTCACAGCTCCATCCAGGGCCTTGAACACTTCCAGGGATGGGGCATCCACAGCTTTTCTGGGCAACCTGTGCCAGGGCCTCAGCACTCCCAGAGTAAAGAATTTTTTCCTAATATCCAATCTAAACCTACTCTCTGTCAGTGTGAAGCCATTCTCCTTTGTCCTGTCACTTGTAAAAGCTCTTGTAAAAGGTCCCTCTCCATCTTTTTTGTAGGCCCTCTTCAAGTACTGGAGGACCACAATTAGGTCATGCCTAAGCCTTCTTTTTTGCAGACTGAATGTGGTCGGTTGGTGTGGGAAGAGATGTTTGGGATGTGTCAACTGTAACGAGTCAACAATAAAATTGTGGCGGCCGTGGTTGTGCCAGCATTGGCCTGGCTCTGGGGATGCCCCGGAGCTGCTTCTGGAGGGGGATGCTCCACCTGCCCCTTCTCTGCTCTCTTCCAGAGCCCCCCACACCCATTGCACCCCCCCAGCTGCTCCGGGCCGGCTCCACCTACCTCATCATCCAGCTCAACACCAACTCCATCATCGGCGACGGCCCCATCGTGCGCAAGGAGATCGAGTACCGCATGACCTCGGGGCCCTGGTCGGAGGTGCACGCTGTCAACATGCAGACCTACAAGCTCTGGCACTTGGACCCGGACACAGAGTATGAGATCAGCGTCCTGCTCACCCGGCCCGGCGAGGGGGGCACCGGCAAACCGGGGCCGCCCCTCATCAGCCGCACCAAGTGCGCAGGTGGGTCCCACGGGGCCACCCAGGGCGGCTTTGGGAGAGGTCCCCTGCCACCCCGAGCCCTTCCCACCACCCATGGGCGTGGAAGGATGTTCACTGCCACTAATCCAAACCACCCACGTGCACGTGTTGGCAGAGGAACTTGTCTCCTCGTTAACGCTGACTTCTCCCTTCACGCCAATTAGAGCTAATTAAACTTCCCAGGAATGGCACTCTCCTCCTTTCAAGAGCCTGAAACGGGCTTGGTGACAACATGAGGGCTCCCATGGCCTATCTGGTTATCTGGGGCTGCTTGGGTGCTCCCGGTGCCCACTGGGATAGTGGAACTGGTACCCAACTTCACCTCCTCAGGGAAGGGATGAGCCCATGGGGGCTACTGTCCCTGCAGTGTTGGTGGCTGTGAGACCCAGTGATGTCCCCAGCCCTGTCTGCAGGGCAGCAGCATCCTGTGCTGGGGCTGGTCCCAGTTTTGGGGCCAGGGTTGCTCTCTGCACTCACCCCCGTAAAAGGGTTTTCCCTGGCAATACACATAAATCCATGAGATGTTTTTATTTCCTCACTCATCTCTCCCCGTCTCTTCCCACACAGAGCCCATGAGGGCCCCCAAAGGCCTGGCTTTCTCCGAGATCCAGTCCAGGCAGCTGACACTGCAGTGGGAGCCACTGGGCTACAACCTGACCCGCTGCCACACCTACACCGTCTCGCTCTGCTACCGCTACTTCGTGGGCAGCGGCCACAACCAGACCTTCCAGGAGTGCGTGAAGATGGAGCGGAACGCCAACCGCTACACCATCAAAAACCTGCTGCCCTACAAGAACATCCACGTCAAGCTCATCCTCTCCAACCCCGAGGGGCGCAAGGAGGGCAAGGAGGTGGTTTTTCAGACCGATGAGGATGGTGAGTCCGCTCAGGGGGGTGCACCACCCCCAAAAATGGGACTCTGTGGCTGTTGAACTCTCGGTGTGTTTCTCGTGGTGGGCGTCCGTGGCTCTCAGCCCAGGGTGGGAATATCTCCTGTGGCATCGCTCTTACAGGGAAGTGAAAAGGGTGTTGCAGCCTCGGGGCTGTGCAGAGGGAGGTGAGAGAAAGGGGCAGTGATGGTGGTTGGGGAAGGGAAGTGCTTGGGGGCTGGATGGGGGTGTCGCTGCAGACACAGTGCCCTCATCCTCAGAGTGGAGTTTTACCCATGCCCGGTCTGGTGGAGGGTGTGAGAGTTGTCTGATGCCCAGCTCCTCCCAGCACAAGCCTCCTCACTCATCCCTTATTGGGAACCAAAGCCTGGTAGTGATAATAACAGCAATTAAAACAATTAATGCTTTGTACTTAGGTAACATCTTTTATCTGCTTGGTCGCCGATGGATCCAGCACTGCTGAATTCCTGGGAGAGAGCTGTTAACCAGGGCAGGAGCAGCTTTGCTCAGCTCCCCCAGTGCTCTTCCCCAGTTCAGTTTGCCCTGGAGCAAGTTCAGGTTGTGCAGATGAGCTCTGTGGTGATCAAGGCCCTCGTTTTTTGGCACAGCATTGCTCCTGAAAGGCTGAGCTGTTGTTTTCCCCCTGTTCTGGCTGTGCCCCGGGGTTGGGTCCCTGCTGCCAGCACCTGAGTGGGGTGATGTCCTCGCTGGAGGCTCCATTGCTCCATTGTTTTGGAATCTTCTCCAAGGCTGGCCTGGAGCTGAGGCCACTGTACAGGTCTCCCAGGTCTGGCCTTAACCTGCACTGCATCTCTCCATCAGCAGTGTTTGGGTCACTTGGGCTCTGGAGGGCAGTGGATATGGCAGGAGGTACAGGACAGGGCTGGCTCCGTGTGTCTGGTGCCACCCATCAGTGACAGGCCACATCCAGGGCTGGCCTCTCCCACTGGTGACTCCTGCTTGTCACATCCTCTTTGCTGCCCCACAGGGATCTCCCCTGTGTGCTGTGATGCCCCTTCAAGGGCAGTTGGGCAGCCCCCACAGGGTCAGAGCTGGCTGATGGGGCCAGGGGGCCTCATCCTGCTCCGTGGGGGCTTGTGTGGGTGCAAGGAGCTGCTGCAGCCCTGGGTGGGTGCTGGGTGCTGAGCACCAGGAGCATCCCTGGCTCTCACAGAGCCACGTGTTAAACAAAACCATAATTAATCTCCAAAGCACTTTTTTAGCATGGAGAATCAGCAATTAAGGTGGAAGAACTGATAACTGCAGAAGACTGGCTCCAGACCCCCCGAGGAGAAGCCTTCCGTGGAATTCCCCTGCATGGGACTCTCCGTGATTTGGGACCCACCAATGTGTGTGTGATGCTCGTCCCTCCTGTTTCCCAGGCTGGAAAGCAAAACCTCCAGAGCTGGAGTGGGACTGAAGTGTCTGAAGAAACCTGAAGTGTCTCCAAGTCCCGTTTTCATCTCCAAATCCTAAATCCAGCACCCTCCTCTGCACAGCAGCACTTTCCATATCCCCAGCTCCCAGCCTGCCCCTCCAGGGGCACCCAGCTCCTCCCTCCCGACGGTTCCTTTTCCAGCTATGATTGCTCCAGCTGTTCTCACTGGGCTGTGACTGCTCCAGCTGTTTTCTGATGGAATATTCATACAGGAGCTCCAGATGTCTTTTTGCTGTACTGTAATCACTCCAGCTGCTTTTCCCTGTGCCTCGATTAACTGGGGCTGGTGGCTTCCCCCTTGGATTGAACTTGGGGCCGTGGGTACGTTTGGCCTCCTTGAGATGGATCCATGGATATCCACCTATGGATATATGGCCTTTATTCCACGTGGGCTTGGCACAGCATCTCCCTGCCTGCCTGGGAGGAGGAGAAGGATTTTTGCTCCTAGAACTGGGTGATGAGCAGCCACCCGTGCAATTAAGCCAAGGTGCTGAAGGCTCATTAATCACAGGACCCTTAATTGTGATTTATTTTGGCACGAGGCCAGTTTTGGTGGCAGCATCTGCTGGTGCAGAGCTGGGGCTGGTCTTGGCGGGCTGCAAAGATGCACATGCACATCCCAGGTGGTAAACCCTGATTTTGGGCTGGAAACCCCATTTCTGGGGCGTTAATAGCTGAGCCAAACCAAGGGTGTTGTTCGCAGCGTCCTCTTGGACCCCGGGCAAAGTCGTGCTGGTGCGTGGGCAGGACACAGGGAGGGATCTGCTGGATCCATAGGTTTTTCCAGTTGGTGTTTCAGTGCTCCATATGGATGCAGGTGACCCACAGCTGGAGATTTTGTTCTGGGTACACAAAATGATGCAACTCAACCCCAGGTGCCTGTGGAAATGCCATTGCAGCGTGTTGGTGCTGTGAGGAGCCAGTTCTCTCCCTTGCAGTGCATGCAAGCCCAAATAAATAGATATAAATCCATAAATAAATATATATATGTGCATATATGGATGGCAGAGGGGTATATGCACATCTGGAAGCTGTTCTGTGCATCCTCTGCTGGTCTCAACCTGGTGTATCATGCCTATACCTACATACATAAATATATAAGCTATATATGTTATAATATTAAGATAATATATAAATTGTACTCTAGACAATAATTTAATGATGATACAATATATAATAATATAAAATAAGATGTAACTGTATATATAATACAGGTCATATATAATACATAATGATAGAAAATAATACATAATTATATATATAGCACAGGTTATAAGATATAAAAAAAAAAATATAGGTACACACATTCCTGCCCTGAAGGTTTCCTTAATTTTCCCAGGGTTTAATAAGAGCCTGTGTACACGTGTAGGACACAGTGCCTCTGATTAAATTAAGTTGTAAATCAAGTGGAAACGCCGTGTTTGCACGGTGGGGGAGGAGATCCCTCCCTTCCCTCTCTCCCGCTGCCGCCGTAATTAGATCCGAACAAAAGCTGTGGGGGGAAAAAAAAAAAAGCAAAGCAGAGGGGCAGAGCTGCTGTCCCTCTGCAAGGAGATGGGGGAGTGTTTTGGGAGCAGGACTTTCCCAAGCCGTTGCCTCTCCGTGGATTTCTAAAGGCGCGGATATCGATCCCGGTGCTGCTGATCACCATTGGTGATTACAGTTATTATTGTGCTGGTGCTAATTAGAGGGGAGGGCTAGGACATGTCTGTCTGCAGGTGAGGATGTTGCTGCTTGCTGGCAGCGTCTCCCCAGGGTGCTGGTGGCTCCTGGGGGGATTTAAGTTGTGGGGGAAGAGGGGATTGATTTATTTTGAGCTTGGGCAGGTTGTGCCAGTGACGGTGGGTGGGAATTGCTGCTGGAAATGGTACCTGTGGGATTTGTGCCATGGTGGCGGGGACATCCTCTTCTAGTGGCAGTCACCAGTGGGCCCAGGAGCATCACTGCCTTGGGGAGCATCTCCCTGGGGAGCCACCAGCCCTGTCTGGTGGCACATGTTGGAGCTGGGTGACATGGCAAAGGGGATGTGGTGGTTTGGTCACGGGGCCACCTGGAGGGGTTTCCTGGAGGATTTCTCCTTCCAAACTGGTTTCGTGCTGCATCCAAGCATGTCCCCTTTCCTTCCCCAGTGCCTGGGGGCATCGCCTCGGAGTCCCTCACCTTCACCCCGCTGGAGGACATGATATTCCTGAAGTGGGAGGAACCGGTGGAGCCCAACGGCCTCATCACACAGTACGAGGTACGTCCCGGAGGGCTGCGGCTCCCGGGGTGGGGACAGAGGGACACGGGAGAGTCCTGTTGGGGGGACGCAGTGGAGGGAATTTGGGACAACTGCTGCTGTTGCTCATGGGGATTAAAGGTGACTGCAGCACTGCTGCTGCCCCCAAGCCCTTCGTTTGGCTTTTCGGGTGAACCTCTGCTTTTGACTTACCCCAAAAAACATCTGCCTCCAGGCTGCCCCCATGACCCTCCTTGGAATTCATCCCTTTCACCTGAATCCAGGGTCTCCCCCCTCTCCCACGGCCTTGGGTGACGCTCTGCCCTGTCCCTGCAGATCAGCTACCAGAGCATCGAGTCGTCCGACCCGGCCGTCAACGTGCCCGGCCCGCGTCGCACCGTGTCCAAACTGCGCAACGAGACCTACCACGTCTTCTCCAACCTCCACCCCGGCACCACTTACCTCTTCTCGGTCCGGGCCCGCACCGGGAAGGGCTTTGGCCAGACAGCACTCACCGAGATCACCACCAACATCTCTGGTAGGTTCCTGTGGCTCCAGGCCATGGCTTCACCTCCACTCAGATATCCTGGGGTGGTGTCAACCCTCTGCATGGCTCCCGTGAGTTTGGCGGCTGGGAGGTTTGTGGTGACCGGAGGCTGCTATGGAAGGATGCTCTTAGGGGTGGCAGCTGTGCCATGAGCCCCCCAGGCAGCCCCCAACTTGATGGGTCCCTGGCCGGGGAGTCCAACCAGCCCAGTGCTGGTGACTGGTGCTGTCTGAGCTCTCAGTGTAATTGGGCTTTGTTAATGAGCCACGCAGTACTCGAGGCTCTTTGCTCAGGTCTGTGGTGTCACCATTAACTGCAACAAACAGGCTGAGATGAGCCCAGATGGGGGCACTGAAACTGCAAAGCAGCTCAAGCTGGACCACAGCGGCTGCCAGTGATGGTGTGGGGGTCACAGGGCTATGCCAGCATGAGGGGGGTCCCTCATCTTGGTCTAGGGGTGTTGCTGGGCTGGCTTGGGTGTGTTTCTGCCCCAGGGGTAAAGGTTCCACTTTGATTCCAGTGATTCCAAGTGCCATTGATTCTGACTGGTGCCATCCCTGGGCACATCTTTAAGCCCTGGAGCATTTGAGTCCTGCCAACATTGGATCCCGCTCCCTGTCTCCTCCCCTCTGCCAGACCAGCATTGTTAACCCCCCTGAGTGCACACCCAGGGGTCCTCTCCCAACCCTGACACTCATTCAAGACCTGGAGGGTCACACCATTGGGTGATGCCTTGCCCTGGGCAAGGCTGCTCAGGCCTCAGTGTCCCCCTGAGCTGGGGGCAGCTCTGAGTACAGGGACTCATCCCTGAGGGCCAGAACTCATCCCTGCTCCCTTTGCAGCTCCCACCTTCGACTATGGGGACATGCCATCGCCGCTGAGTGAGTCAGAGAGCACCATCACAGTGCTGCTCCGGCCGGCGCAGGGCAGGGGGGCTCCCATCAGGTAGGTCGGGGCTGTAGGAGGGTGAGACCCCCAAAAATGGGGTGGGACAGCACGGTGGAGCTCCAAAGGAAGGGCAGGACCGTGATTTTCCCGAAGCTATTTTTGGGTATCAGTCTCTTCTCCCAGCAGTAGGACAAGAGGGCGCAGGCTTAAGCTGCGCCAAGGGAGGTTTAGGTTGGAAATTGGGAAGTTCTTCACAGAGAGAGGGATCAGACATTGTCAGGGGCTGCCCAGGGAGGGGGTGGAGTCACTGTCCCTGGAGGTGTTTAAGAAGAGACTGGACTTGTCTGGGTGACAAGGTGGGGTTGGGTCACAGGTTGGACACAAAGATCTCTGAGGTCTTTTCCAACCTGGCTGATTGTGTGATTGTGTGACTCTAACCCGTGCCTGGCCCTTGCCAGCACTTACCAGGTGATAGTGGAGGAGGACCGTCCCAAGAAGCTCAAGAGGGAGCTGGGGGGGGCCCGAATGCTTCCCGGTGCCCCTCACCTTCGACGATGCCATGTCCCGGGGCTCCGTGCACTACTTTGGGGCAGAGCTGCCTGCCAGCAGCCTCACCGAGGCCAAACCCTTCACTGTGGGGGACAACCAGACCTACAGCGGCTACTGGAACCCCCCCCTGGAGCCCAAGAAGGCCTATCTCATCTACTTCCAAGCCATGAGCAACCTCAAAGGGGTGAGTGGCCGTGGGACCCCCCTCCGGCCGGTGGGTTGGACCAGGCAGAAGGCAGGCTGGGGTTTGGGGGGGTCAGGAAAAACGGGGCTTGTTTGAGGTCCCCCTTGGGCCACCCTCTGGGCTCACCCCCAGTGTCCTGCTCAGGGGGAGCTGGTGCTCTGGGCTGCCCTTATGGCACACTGGGACCATGGAGGGGTGTCCCATTCCTCCCAGCACCCCTGGGCTGTGCCTGTCCCCATCCTGGTGCTGACACTGGGGAGGGAGGAGTCCAACCTCCCCCACCCACCAGCCATGACTCCAACCAGCACCAGTGCATGGGACACCCCATTCCTGGGCTCATCTTGGCGTGGAGAAGGACCATTTGGACAGCAGGAGCTGCGTGTGCATTGCTGGGACCCACTGCTGACAGGACAGCGAGTCCCAGCTCCAGAGAACTCCTGGGAGCTCCTAGGCTGCCTTTCCCTGCCTTCTGCTGCCTGTTCCCTCTGTGAAGGTGTAACAGCCCTGCTCTGACAGCACCCCCACATCCCTGGGCTGATTTCTCCAAGTCATTGATGGGACCACCGGGACCCTTCTCAGCATCACCTGCTCCAGCACGTCCCATCCCCCCCAGGGGAGGGTGAAAGCAAAGCAGCAGGACCACAGCTCCATCCTCATCCTGCACAGCTCCATCTTGCTGGAAAGGTGCTGGTTATTGAATCCTTTCCTCGGCTCCAGGGTCGTTCACACCTCGCTGGGTTGTAATTAGAGCCGAGATGGACAAGGAGGATCTCGGCTCTGGCTCGCTTGGGCACTGCTGGATAATAACTGGTAGCTGATGCTGTTTTATAGCCTTCCTGCTGGGAGGCAATGGATTTGTCCTGGCTGCTGTCAGACATTGCAAAAAGGCTGGATCCTGGCTGTGGTTGTTCAAGGGTTTTGTGCCAGATGAAGCAAGAAACAGGAGAAGGAAAAGCTGGTAACCCCAGGGAGAGCAGGGCCGGAGCTGCCCCTGCCCTGGGCCTGTGGCATGGGCAGGTCTCAGTCCAAGGGTGGATGGAGCAGCATTGCCAGCAACAGTGTCCTGAGGATGCTTGGAGAAGAAGGCAATCCTGCCAAGATGGTGCTTTTTTGTTTTGCAGCAGAAGTTGGATGCATGGAAAGATGGAATATTTTAGCTGAACCCGTCCCTACGTGGCAAATGTTAAAACTGTTGGCTGGCAAACTTGTCAGCACATACAGGGCACTGGGACTGGGGCTGAAAACTTTAACTGATGGAAAGAAAACCCCTGTGAAGCTCTGGATGATGACCTGGGAATGTTTTAGCTGTAGCTGGTGACCCGTGGCTTACCTGGATCTGCTGGGTCCCTCTGATGGTCTTGAGCTTTGCTGTCCCCTCTGTGCCAGCAGCAGTGGACTTACCTAACCCTGGGAATGCTGGGGGCAGCTCATTCGGCAGCATCTCTTGGGATGTGGGTCCCCTGGAGCTCTTTGGGTGCTGCAGCACAAATCACCAGGAAACTCCCTCGATTTTGGGGGGTCAAAGCACCAACGGACCAGCCTTGCGTCCACCCAGCCTCGCTGGGAGCGGGAGCGGGGAGAGGAGCTCTGGGATCATCCAGCACTGATCCTCCTTTTTTACCTCTGTAGGAAACCCGGCTGAACTGTGTCCGGATCGCCCGCAAAGGTGAGCCCACCCTTTCCTGGCCAGGGGGGTCCCACCGAGGCCGTGGCTCCAACCCTGTGGCTCCTCTGGTGGTTGGGGCCGTGCCGGTGGGTGTGGGGACCGGTGCTGCTGGTGGTTGGGGTGGGTGTGATGGTTTTATTCTTTCCCACTTCCTCTGGTGCCTGGGGTCTTCCCCTTGGTTGGGTTTTCCCTCTCGATGCCGTTGTCGTGGTGGGGGTGGCAGGATGGAGTCAGTGGTGCTGGATGCTGAATCCGGGGATGGCTGATCTTACGTGGGGAGTGACAAAAGGTGGCACAAAGGGACTTGTCTCACCCCACTGGAACTGAGAGAGGGCCTTGCCCGTGGTCATAGTGTGGCACTGCAGAGCCCTGTAATGTCTTGGTGGAATAATGTGTTCATGGAGCAATGAGCACCCCATGGGACAAATCCTAGTGTTTCCATATATGATGTTGCCAACACCCCTGGAGCTGAGTGATGACCCCTCCTGCCTGTCCTTGTCCCCTGGCAGCTGCCTGCAAAGAGAGCAAGCGTCCCCTGGAGGTGTCCCAGCACTCGGAGGAGATGGGCTTGATCCTGGGGATCTGTGCTGGGGGGCTTATTGTCCTGATTATCCTGCTGGGAGCCATCATCGTGGCCATCCGGAAAGGGTAAGGAGACCTGGTGTCATGGCTGGTGCTTCATCTGTCCCTTCCCCCGAGCTCAGCCCTTCTCCACCGCCCCAGCACTAACTGGGAGCTACTGGTGGTGATTGTGCTGCACTGGGCAGACCCCAGACCCTCCCTCGAGCTGGGTGTCCATCCGCTTGTGCATCCCACCAGGCACTTTGGGATCTCAGGAGGCACTGCGGACCAAGGAGCAAAGTCCTGGGGATGTCCCTTCCCCCTCAGGGCTCTGAAGCTTTGTCCCTCTCCTGTGTATTTTTCAGTCTTTTGCCTCTTTTTGCTGCTGCTTCTTGGCTTTGTGCTGCTCTGGTGATTCTGCAGAGATGGAAATGCTTCTGGCCCGTGTCCAGGCCCTGGGACAGTGCTGAGCCAGGCTGTCCCCATCCCACCAGCTCTCCCCCTGCTAACAGCAGCCAGGGGACCCCAGGGTGTGCAGCCCTGCACCCCCCAGCCCCAAATGACAAAAATCAGCTTCATCTGCACTGAGATGTCTCTGGACTTCCCTGTTGCCTTGGCCAGCCTAGGGCTGGATCCATCCATGGGAGTGCTGTTGACTGAGGTCTGGAGGGTCTGGCTGTGCAGGTCTCCCCCTCAGGGGTTGGGCTGGGGCCAATTCAATGCTGGACCCCTTTGGGGTCGGGCAGGGGGCTGCCCACCCTGGTCACCCCTGGGTGTGGGTGCTCAGAGCAGTCCAGCACCTCCTTGGCTTGTTTTAATGGGGAAGCACTGAGCTTCCAGTGAAATGTGGACAATCCCTCTCCAGCTGGCTCTAAATGAGTCATTAAAATTTGGGTGTGCACTGGAGGGGAGGTTTTCCCCGGGCTGACGATCCTTGGGGACCCCCAAACTGCTCTGCCACCCCCAGGGGAATCCCCACACTCCCTGGCTCTCTGGAAAGCTGAGCACATCCAGCGTGGATGGGGGAACCTCAGTGGGGTGGGAGGGAGGAGGGCGAGGGCTTTCCAGGCCACTCATCCCTGGGAGCGCTGGGGACGCGGCCGCTGCTTTTTGCTTGGGTGCAACGCCCTGGAAAGTGGCCCTGGAAAGCGGCTCCTTCCGTGCGGGGCCGGAGCCGGGGGGGGCTCTCAAAGCCAGGGAGAAAGGACAGCAATTAAACACAGGGCTGGGGATGATGGAGCAAAGTAGGTGAACAGCCAGAGGGGAGAGAAAAACAGCGGGGCACAACCTCGGCCCGCGGAAACGTGCAAAGCTCTTTGTGTCTCCGTGCGCCCCGGAAGGATCCTGGCGGATTTGGAGCGGGGATGTGGCACCTGTGCAGGGTTGGCTTGTGACTCCATTAGGTCTGTCTCTGACGGAGCAAATGCCAGTGGTGCTGATGGTGTTTTGGGGAGTGCTGCTGTGGGTGGGAAGCCACGAGTGTGGCTGCTGTGTTCCCAGTGCTGAGGAGGAGGAGGAGAAGGAGGAGGAGCAGCAGCTCTGCTTCAGCATCCCAGGGTGAACCTGTTGAAGGACAAACCAGAGCCACAAATCAGACCTGATGCCAACAGCCCTGAGTCTGGGGCTGTGGGCAAGCTGGGATGAGCTCATAAATCTTCTCCAGAGTGTTTTGCCGTTGGAAAAACACTGATGTGGTGGAATGGGAAGGCAGCTCTGGAACAGACTCATTCCTAGGAAAAAGTGCACTGGAAACGTGATGTCCTAACCCCATCTATCCCACTGGGCCCCTGACCAGCTCCCTGAGGGAAATCCCTACATTTTGGACATGTTTGCTGTTCACTTTTAAAAATTATGGAATAGCCCCTTGGACAAGGGCACTGTGGGCACCCCACCTCTAGTGTGGTCACCCTGAGAGCTGGTGCTTGTGCTCTGCTGCGGGATGTTGGCTCCTGCCTGGAATAAATAACCTGTGGATGCCAAAGGGGACCTTTATGGTGCATTTAATTTTCTGGCAGCACTGTAACCCCCCCTTCTCTGTGCTGGAGAAAAGCTGCTTATGCAATTTCTGCTGCTCTCTTTGTTTGCACGCTTGCCAGGAGGAACTACTATTCTTATTCCTATTACCCGTGAGTAATTGTCGTTCTCTTTCTCCTTTACCCTCCTCGGGGCTGCCCCTCTCACCCTACTGCTCCAACAAGTCCTTAGCTCTGCCCAGTACATTTTAAGGGTCTCTTTGGCTTGGGAAGATAATGCTGCTGAGCTTGTTAGAGGGAGAAAGCAACATGAAGGCGAAGGATCAGTGACTTTGGGTTGAATTTTAGATTTTGGCAGTGTCTTGCAGTGTCCTGGCCCCGCTGAGACATGGGCTCAGATCTCCTGTTCATCCCTCCCCTGGTTTAAGCCCTGCTCTGACTTCTTCAGAGCCTGATGCTGCCTCTCAAAAATATTCATTCAGGGGTTTTTGGCCTAAATGTCTTGAATTTGGGGTGTGAGGTTCTGTTCCTCAGCTTTCCCAGAATCTTTGTTAGATGCCTAATGGGGACCTTGCCCTGGGGGAAAAGCCTCTCTGGTGGGTGCTGAGCACTTGTGTAGTCAGGGGGTCCAGCCCATCCCTTGGGGTGGATTTGGCCCCCAGCATGGTTTTAGGATCACAGAATGGTTTGAGTTGGAAGGGAACTTAAAGATCATCTAATTCTACCCCCACTGCCATGGGCAGGGACACCTTCCACTAGCCCAGGTTGCTCCAAGCCCCGTCCAACCTGGCCTTGGACACTTCCAGAGATGGGGCAACCACAGCTTCTCTGGGCAACCTGTGCCAGGGCCTCCCCACCCTCACAGGAAGAATTTACCCCTAACCACTGATCTAAATCTCTCCTCTTTTACTTTAAAACCATTTCCCCTTGTCCGATCACTATTTGCTCGTGTAAAAAGTCACTCTCCCCCTGTTTTATAAGCCCCCTTTAGGCACTGGAAGGGGCTCTCAGGTCTCCCTGGAGCCTTCTCTTCTCCAGGCCAAACACCCCCAGCTCTCCCAGCCTGACTCCAGAGCAGAGGGGCTCCAGCCCTTGGAGCGTTTTTGGGATCCGTGTCTTCCTTGCACTTGCCCTGTGCAGCAGAGCGATGCACGTGGTGTGCTGGATGGGCACACACAGCTCGGGGGCAATGGGTGGGGCAAGGCTGGAGAAACCGGGCTGGGGGGAGCTGGGGCAGAGCCACGTGATGCCAGATGGCTGGAGAGAGCCTTTGCTTACACATGGAGCACTCCTGGCTGTCCCAGGGGAGGGGACAGCATGGGACATCAAGCGTGAGCAGCTGGCAAGGGATGATCCAGCTGGGGACAGCGCAAAACCAAAGCGTGGTGACCCTGGGATCTTACAGCACCTTTGGGTGAGCCCTGCTTATTTCTGCTTCCTCCCTACTGCAGGAAACCTGTGAACATGACCAAGGCAACCATTAACTACCGGCACGAGAAGACCCACATGATGAGTGCCATCGACAGGAGCTTCACTGACCAGAGCACCCTGCAGGAGGACGAGCGCCTGGGGCTGTCCTTCATGGACACCCACAACTACGGAAACAGAGGTAAGGATGGGAGTCCTGGCATCCCACTGCTCCCATCCCACAGCTACAGCAACCAGAGCAAGGACGGGAACCCCGGTGTTCCCCTGCTCCCACCCCACAACTGTGGCAACCAGGGTAAGGATGGGGAATCTCGGCATCCCACTGCTCCCATCCAGCCACAGCAAGGGTGCCCAATAATCCTTGAATATCCCAGAAACAGCCTGCCAGAGCTCAAGGAGTGTTTGGACAATGCTCTCAGGCACGTGGTGGGATTGTTGGGGTGTCCTGTGTGGGGGCAGGAGTTGGACTCGATGATCCTTGTGGGTCCCGTCCAGCTCAGGAGATTCTGTGGTTCTCTAAATATGTATCCAAGGCTCAGTAAGAAGGTGTTATATCTACTTTAGCCTGATGTGTGTGGCACGTTGCAGGCTTTTCCCTGCCCCGTGTAACTCTCCAAGGGCATTGATCTCATCGGTGCCTGTGGTAACTTTTATCATCATCCAGGCTGTGCTGAAGGGAAAACACTCATGGGCTGCTTGAGCTGGGTCTCTGCATCTGAGCAGAGATCTGAGCTTGTGGCTGGGCAGCTTGAGGCCGTCTGCAGCCCCCCTGTCTGCAGCCCCCCTGGAGCTGTGAACCCCAGCTCTTCACTCGCTCAGGGCTTGGAAGCTTTACACCAACCTTCCCCAGCACACCCAGCCCTGGGCTTCCAAGGGTTACCGAGCCCCCGTGTTCGTCTCTGAGGGTGACTGATTATTTCCCACCCACTGGAGGATGTGTCTCCACGCTGATTTAGTTGTAAAATAACTCCTTGGATGCCCCAGTTCCAACCATATGCTAATAACATCTGTTACAGTAACTTCAAGATGCCGCTTCCACGCGGTTCTTCCGCACCGGCTGTGGGATTAATGTGATTCCCGCCATTGTCTCACGGATAACAGAAGCCCAGAGGGCAAACTTTTCTTCTTAATACATAGAACTAGGTGTATTTATGTTTTTGTTTTTTTTTTTTGGTTGCTGTCCTTGAAACGCTCAGAGGCTGGTGGGGCTCTGTGTGGGCTGAGCTGGGGAGGTTGTGCTGGCTGCCATGGCTGGGGACAGCCCCCAGTGGCTGTGAACGTCCCTAATTAATGAGGGTAAATGAATGGGCTGCTCTCTTGGTGGCTGTTCCCCACCAGGCCTCAGTTTCTGTGGATTTAAAAGAAAATCACTAATCCTCAGGGAAACCTGGGTGGTTCCTCAGCGTGTGGCTGCCTGGAGCTGTCAGCACCTTGCAAGTGCCAGCAATTAATTTCTCATTAATCCCAGGCCGGGTCATGGGGCACACCTGGGTTGTCCCGTTGGTTCATCTTGGGAGTGAGATCAAATCTCTGGTGCATCCAGCTCTGGGGGTGCTCAGCACAGGAAGGATGTGGAGCTGCTGGAGCAAGTCCAGAGGAGGCCATGGAGATATTCCAAGGGCTGGAGCCCCTCTGCTGTGGAGCCAGGCTGGGAGAGCTGGGGGGGTTCACCTGGAGAGGAGAAGGCTCCAGGGAGAGCTGAGAGCCCCTTGCAGGGCCTAAAGGGGGCTTAGAACAGGAAGAGCAACTTTTTATATGGGCAGATAGTGATAGGACAAGGAGAAATGGTTTTAAACTAAAAGAGGAGAGATTTAGATTTAGGAAGGAATTGTTCCCTGTGAGGGTGGGGAGGCCCTGGCACAGGTTGTCCAGAGAAACTGTGGCTGCCCCATCCCTGGAAGTGTCCAAGGCCAGGTTGGATGGGGCTTGGAGGAACCTGGGCTAGTGGAAGGTGTCCCTGCCCATGGCAGGGGGTGGGACTGGATGAGTTTTAAGGTCCTTTCCAACCCAAACCTTTCCATGAGTCCCTGCTTGCCCAACCCCTGACAGCAACGCAGAGCATCAGGTTTTGTGCCAACCCTGATTTTAGGATCTGGTGTGGTACCTTCCCTTAACAAATGCAGGTGAGATCTTAGTCTGGCTCTGCTGGTAATTACACAGCAAAGGCACAAACCAGGTAAATACTGCATAAACTCCCCCATTAAACAGCAGCCAGCTCCATTTGTGGCAGCGGGAGGAACACGGTGCTGCTCTCTAGCAGCGAGGAAAATTAACTGTTAAGCTGAGCTGGAGACTTTGGCAAGGTGATATTTCAACTCAGGACTTTGTGTGAGTATTTGGGCACAGAGCTCTTGCCTGTCTGCATTGGAGTTAATTGGAAATAAGGTTATTAACCCCCCTAAGGTCTTGCCTACTGATTTCTAATAGATCTGCTGGGGTCCTAAAAAGGCCGTGATGGGTATTTTTAGCTTTGTGGTGTAGGAAGAGCTGTAGAGAGCACGAGGAATTAATTCTTTGGTTTACTTTGCTTTTCCCATTAAACTCCCTTTATCTCAACCCACAAGTTTTGTCACTTTTACCCTTCCAGTTCTCTCCCCCTCCCAGGAATGGGGAGGGAGGGAGTGGCTGGCGGGGCTTGGCTGCCCCTTGGAGTTAAGCCCCAACAGTTTGGTTCACTCCAGCCTGGAAGTCAACACTTTTACATAATTCAAACGAACTAAACTTCACAGGCTGCTTGCAAGTCACATTGAGCAAAATCGTTCCGAAGAGAGGCCTTTAC